CGGGCCTGCCTGGCCCTCTGGTGAGAGAGACCCGGACATTGCACCCACTGGGCACCTCTCCCCCAGTCCTGCAGGCGGCCCCCTCCCAAAACCGCCTCTGGCGCTGGTGCCCAGACACCTCCCAGACAGGCCCCTCCTCTCACTGACGGCCCTCCAGCCCCAAACCCCCAGCAGGAACCCCATGGCCCTGGCGCCCACGGCCAGACCTGAGGCCACAGGTTGGCCCTGGAACCTTCACCTGCGTTCCAGGGGCCTACTCCTTCCCTCGGGTGTAAGTTGGACCCAGCCCCTTGGGTCCCAGTCCTGGGAGCACCAACCCTACCCATGGTGGTTGACTCTACTTGATGTGGGGCAGACAGGAGCCTCTGAGTGCCTGACCTGGGCCCCCAGGCAGGGATCTGCCAGACTGGATGCTCCCCGGGAGCAGGTGGGGTGCTTCAGCCCTGGGCTCCATGCTAGGCCCCCTTCCTGGAGTCTGCCCCACCCTGATGTCCCCACAGGGCCCTGGAATCAGAGGCCACAACCCACAGCATATAGAAGCCAGAATGGGAGGAGCCCCAAGCCAGGCTGAGCATCAGCTGAGAGAAAGGACAAACCACCCCCAACAACACACCAAAGTTGGGCCGCGGGTGGAGCCGTGGCCTGGGGAGGCCGCCCACAATTACCACAGTTTGGGAGTTAGTTACTTCCCACCCCTGTCAGGCTTGACACGTAGTAGTTCGTAGTTTGTCTTCACTTGTGGGGAACTGGCTTAAAGGGGCAGCGTGGGCTAAAAGCTGGGCCATGGCTAAGCCTCCGCCTCCGTCCTAGGAGCCCCTTCCCCAGGAGAGGGGAGGCTGTGCTCCACGACCCCGTGGTGCCGCTCTGGCGCTCAGAGCAACATTGGGCTCTTCAACTGCGGATGGAGCAGAACTGTAGCCCCGTCTCGCTCTGATTCAGAGAGAGAAAGGAACCGGCCTGCGATCATACAGCATGGAAGGAGAGGAATTAGGGAATGTGGCAGGAGATGTCTTTGAAGCTGAATCCCTTTCCGATGCATTCCTTTTCTCTTATCGTGGTCCTTGATGCAGGCAGGACAGCTTAAAGTTATAGAGCAAGGAAGCCCGGGGGGAATGGGACTTGCCTGAGGTCACAGCAGGACACAGAACCATGATCAGGACCTGGCTGTCTTGCCTCCAACCCCTCCCTTTGTAACACACCTACCCTCCTCTGCTCCCTACACAGACCAGCCTCGAAGACGGGGCTTCAGGGTCCAGGCTGCCCCCAGGGATTCAGCCCTTCCATGGCTGTGTTGCTCATCCTTTTTACTTCTGTGTCGCAGGTGTGCCACAGACCACAACGTGGACAACACCACAGAGATGCTGCAGGAGTGGCTGGCTGCTGTGGGTGGCGACTATGCGGCTGTGGTCTGGAGGCCCGAGGGGGAGCCCAGGTGATCTGAGGGCAGGAGTGTGGGAAGAGTGGAGAATAGCTGCAGTCCAGGCTAGGGCTCCATCACCTCCTGCAGAGAGAAAAACACCTACCTCATGGGGACATCTTATCTTCTCACCGCCCCACCAGGTCTTACCCAGATGAAGAAGGTCCCAAGCACTGGACCAAGGAAAGGCACCAGTTTCTGATGGAGTTGAAGCAGGAAGCCCTGACCTTTGCCAGGGGCTGGGGTGCTGACTATATCCTGGTAAGGAAGTCTGGCCTAGGACTGGGCTTCTGGAAAGGGGCGGGTTCTGTCCCTGACAAATCTCGTTGTGACTGATCCACCTGGACCCTTCAGCCGGATGTCTGGACCAGAGCTCAGACCAGATACATCTGGATCCCTGTGTGTGAGCTCAGACTAAGTACTAAACCTGGATCCGTGAGACAGATCCCAGGGAAATAGTGAGCTTCGATTCCTGGGCTAGACCCAGAACAGAAATGAGGCTGGGCTTCTGGACTAGAGCTCAGAGTAGGTCTTTGGACCTACTCCCTAAGCCAGATCTCGTAGATCAGCAACTCAGGTCTAATCTCTAAGTAGTCAGTGCCCCAGAGTAGATCCATGGTCCAGAAACAGATCTACTGTTCATTGGTTAGACTTCTCTAAGGAACTCTCACTGGATTTTAGGAGCCACTCTGGGTCTCTGGCAATCTGGGGGATTCCCACTCATGAACCCCTTGGGGGCTGCAGCCCAGACAGGGCTGGGCCTGTGACATCTCCATCCCCAAGTTTGCAGACACCGACAACATTCTGACGAACAACCAGACGCTGCGGCTTCTGTTGGAGCGAGGGCTGCCGGTGGTGGCCCCAATGCTCGACTCCCAGACCTACTACTCTAACTTCTGGTGTGGGATCACCCCTCAGGTGAAGCCGGGGATGGGGACCTGGGGTTCCGGGAGGAGGAGCATGTGTATGTGGGCCATGGCAGGGAGAGCCCTCTCGAACCCAGAGCATTCCCCTTCCCCAGGGCTACTACCGCCGCACAGCCGAGTACTTCCCCACCAAGAACCGCCAGCGCCAGGGCTGCTTCCGTGTCCCCATGGTGCACTCCACCTTCCTGGTGTCCCTGCGGGCTGAGGGGGCAGCCCAGCTCGCCTTCTACCCGCCTCATCCCAACTACACCTGGCCCTTCGACGACATCATCGTCTTTGCCTTTGCCTGTCAGGTTGCTGGTGAGGACCAGCCCTCGGGCATCCCTTGGAGGCCTTGGGCCTTTGCACATGCTGTTCCCCTTCGCATGCCCTCCCACTCTGCCTCTCATCCTACCCCTGTTGCCCTTTGGGTCATCGCCTTTCCCGACTCTCCTGCCCAGTGAGCTAGATACCCTCCTCTGGCTTCCCCCATCATGGCACCCGCATATATTCCTTTAGGAGGCAAATACCACAGAGCACCGGCCATGTACTGGGACAGCGTGAGTAAAATCAGGCAGGCCCTGCCCTACTGGCCCCTTCAGTCCAGTCAGGTAAAGTACTGTACAAGTCAGTGTCCAGAAGCCAGTCTGACAAGAGAACTTGAATACGGATGCTCCGGGAGCTTAGTCTAGAGTGGACCTGGTTAGGGAGGGCTTCTGGAAGGAAGGAAATGCTGGGTGGGACTGAGATCTAGTGTGGGCAGGCATTAAAGGGCCTTTCAGGCAGATAGAGCAGCAGATGCAAAGGCCCTGTGGTTGTAGGGAACATAAGAAGCAGTGAGTGAGTGGGCACGGTGCAGGCTGAGGCAGGGAGGGCAGGCAGGGCTCTGCCTACGTGGACCTGGCGGGCAAGCAGCTGGCCTTCAGCCTAGAGCGCTGGGCAGCCACCAGTGTCATGTGATCAAATTCGCACACTGGAAGGGACACTCTGGTGATGGTAGTTATCTCCAAGATGAAGGTGCCTAGAAAGTGTTTAGATGTGGATGGGATAAATCCAGTCCTGAGAAAGAGTCAAAGATGAGAGAGCGAAGGACCAGATGGTGGCACAGTGGTTGAACACGATGCTCTGCAGGGTAATCCCACATGGGAAGGTTCCCACTCAGGTTCAGAGACCTCTCTGAGTGTGTGGGTATACACTTGCCTGTGGTCTGGGGCTGGCTGAGGCTGGGGTGGATTGGAGCATCAGGACCCTTTTGGGGTGCTGTCTTTCTCTTTCTCTGTCTCTCATAGAAGAAGCGCAATTTAAAAAATTAAAAATAGGGACCAGCAGATGGCGTAATGGCTATGTCGCTGGACTCCCATGTAGTTGACTGAGGTTCAAGTCCCAGATCTGGTGGCTTAAACTTACGCTGGGCGTGTGTGCGTGCATGTCCAAGATCCCAAGAGGAGAATGGAGGAGAATTGTGGGGTGGCCATCACCCCTCAGGGGTGATTTCTCTCTGCTTTCTGTCTCTCTGTTTCTCTTTGCTTCTCCAGTGAGCACATGCACCCTATAGCAAAAACCTCTCAAAACATTTTTAAAATAAAATAAAAAAGAAGTGCAATAAATAAATCTTTAAAAAAGAAAAAAAAAAAGATGAGAGAGAGAGAGAGACACTGAAGTTGGAGTAAAGTTCTTGAGAAGGGTGCACGGAATTTGCATCAGGACATGGCCTGAGCTTAGCTGAGGATGTGAAGACACTCTGGTGGGTAGAGGAGACCTTGGCTGGTGGGCAGGGTGTTTGGAGGTGACGGTTAATTTGGTCTTGTGCCCAAGCATGCAGTGTTGTCAGTGGTGACCAGAAAGGGTGTGTACTTCTGTGCACGAGGTGCTGATGAAGTCTGCCACGTGCAGACTTGCAAGAAGAAAAAGTCGAATCAAGTGCATAAAGCGCACGACTTCTCATTGCCACGTTGCTCCAAGTAACAGCCGTTTAGCTAACTGTTCAGTGATTTGAGGGGATCCCGTGAGTGGAGTGCTGGTCTTTGTTCCATCATTCAGGCATCTAACATCTGGCTGTCACATGCCACTCTGGGCCAGGCTTTGTGCTCAAGACTGGGTGTGGAGTTAGCTTTTTTTTTTTTAAGGTTTTTGTTTTTTTTTTTGCTATAGGGTGTGTGTGCTCACTAGTGGGAGAGAAAGTGAGAAATCACCCCCACCCAGGGAGGGGGCACATCACAGTCCTCCATTTTCTTCTCGGGATTTTGGGCACAAACATGCACTTGGCATGTTTCTCAAACTGCCAGTTTGGGGCTCAGACCGTTACGTGGGATCCAGCATTTTAACCACTATGCCATCAGCTGGTCCTAGAGTTAGCTTTTTAATAGAGGATGCCTGCCCAAGGGGATGATCAGAATAAAGGTGACAAGTAGCAAAAGAAGAGGAAAGGCCACTCTGTTTGCCAGGCAGGAGACAGGGTGGAGGGGAGCCTCACATGGTGTGGGGTGAAGTGCAGGGTCTGGGCCACAGGCGATGGTGCCTGGGGCGGGGCAGGGCGAATAGGGTAAGAGGATTTAGGGGGTGGTGCTCTAGGCTCTCCGGTGCCCTGTGGCTGTAGTTGGTGCAAGTTTGCCTGCTTCTTCCTCACCGTGACCGGCCTCCGCCTGTCTTTCACCGCTGTAGCTCAGCACCCCTGGGTGTCTGGACAGGCCTGTTAAATAGCCCATCTCAGCAGAAGGACCCCCTGGCTGCTGTGTGAGCCAAACCCTTTCTCCCTGTTGAGTTGCAGGCAGTGCTGGGTCCCGGAAGCCCTCCCCTACTCTGCACTCACTCGGCCTCTCTCTGCAGGGGTCTCGGTCCACGTGTGTAATGAGTACCGTTATGGCTACATGAACGTGCCTGTGAAGTCCCACCAGGGGCTGGAGGATGAACAGGTCAACTTCCTTCACCTGATCTTGGAAGCGCTAGGTGAGGGCTGGGGGCCTGTCCCACCCTACTGTCATGGTCCCCCACCCACACATAGTGTTCCCCTTGTTTTTAAGACTTTTTTTTAAATTTAACTTTATTTATTCATTCATTTATTTGAATTTGACCAGAGAAGGACAGAGTGAGAGAGCATGAGAGAGAGAGGGAAAGTGAGGAAGCAAGCCTCCAGGTCCAGGACTCGAACTGTAGTCAGCCATGTGGGAGCCCAGCGCCCTTAACCACCATGCCACCTACTGGCCCTAGTGTCCCTTCTTTTTTTACAGAGAGGTTTTTGCTATAGTGTGCATGTGCTCACCGGAGAGACAGAGAGACAGAAAGCAAGAAATCATCCCCCAGGGGGTATAGCCACGCTGTAATCCCTTCTCTTCCATTCTCCTCTCGGGATCTTGGGCATGCATGCACATGCCTGACGTGAGTTTTAAGGCGCCTGGTCTGGGACACAAACTAAGGTTGACTACAAGGGAGTCCAGCACCATAACCATTATGCCATCTGCTGGTGCCCCTTGGTCTCCCTTTTAAGATGCCCTGGACTCAAGTGGGCGTGGTCTTGGGGTTCTAGCCCTAACATGTTCCCTGACTGTGAGCGAGTGTCTTTCCCTGTCTGCTCTCTACGATGGGAGCAGATGGATTCTGCAGCCTCAAGATGGCTTTTTCTATTGGGCATCCTGCCAAGGGAGCAGGTGTGGGCCGGGGCCAGCACTCTAGGGTGGCTCTGACGGGAACCATGGGGACTCATGACTGGGAGTGTTTCCCTTGGCAGTGGATGGGCCCCCCATGCAGGCCTCAGCTCATGTGTCTCGGCCCCCAAAGAGGCCCAGCAAGATGGGGTTTGATGAGGTAAGTCCCCCGACTTGCGGGACAGGAGTCAGGAGGTAGAGGGGTCCTCGCCCCCTCCCTGGCATCCACCCTGCTGCTTTCTCTAGGTCTTTGTCATCAGCCTGGCCCGCAGGCCAGACCGCCGAGAGCGCATGCTGAGCTCACTGTGGGAGATGGAGATCTCTGGGCGGGTAGTGGAGGCGGTGGACGGCCGGTGAGGCTTCCTAGGGATGGGGCCCCAGGCGTGTGGGTGGGGGGCAAGGTGGTCTGTCTCTGAGCTCCCAGGGGTGGAAAAAGCAGATAAGTGGAATGAGCTTCCTGTTCCAGGAGGTATCCAAACAGGGCCTGAGCAGATTCTGGGAGCTTCAGGGCAGATAAACACAGGACAGGATCCCCTTCCTCTGCCCACGCTCACTGAGGGAGAAGAGTGCTCTGGTTAAGGCTCCAGGGCCTGACTTCCAGCTCTGCCACCTGCCACCTGGTGACCTCTGGCAAGTCACCCCCATCTCAGCTCCACTGCATAATTGACAAGTGACTGTGCCTTGCCCTTGGGCGTTGTAAGAGCTCAGTGAAGGTTAGCGAGAGCAGAGCCCGGGGTATAGTGAGTATTCCAGAGGGTTAGGCATCTTTGACGTTGTGGTTCCTGGTCCCCGGCATAGGTCCCTGGGCGTGGGTGGGGCAGCAGGTTCCTGAGGAGTCCGGAGGCTGGGCTCTTCCAGCCACAGGGGTCTCATGGCCCCAACGCATGCTGCCATTTGCTGGAGGCCCCCAGCTCCTTTGCCTGCATAATGTCCATCCTTTGCATGGGCCTCTGCCGAAGAAGCAGCTACTGTTTCCACACATGCCTCCTGGGGGACTTCCCAGGCAGTCCCTTTCCGCCCATCCCTGTGGCTTCTCAGGTAGCTGCGGTCCCCAGTCACAGGAGTCAGGAGGGCTGAAACCTCTTTCAAAGTGGCTCCCAGTGTGATTGGCCCCAGTCCGCACAGGCCAGGCTTGCTGGGGGGAGCCCCTGACGGCACCCCTTACCCTGCTCCACCATGCCTCTCAGGACTCTCAACAGCAGTGTCATCAGGAGCCTCGGTGTGGACCTGCTCCCTGGCTACCAAGACCCCTATTCAGGCCGCACACTGACCAAGGGCGAGGTGGGCTGCTTCCTCAGCCACTACTCCATCTGGGAAGAGGTGAGGTGCCGCCCTCGGCCCGTGCCTTCAGGGCGTGCAGGGGCCACTGTGTCCTGGTGGTGGCTCTGCGCCCAGTACTCAGCACACAGGCACAGTAACGAGGGCCCCAGCCGCTCCGAACCCTCTCCGTGTTTAACACCGAACTGGATGCCACCGAGAAGGGCTCGCGTCCATATCGAGCACCGCTGTGTGCCAGGGAACTCAGGAACGAGAAAAGTGTGTCCGTCTCCCGCCTGCACTAGGGCGTCCTCCTGGGGTTCAGGGACACAGAAATCAAGAAAGAACCACACTGGCAGCAAAGGGGAGGGGATGGGCTGTTGCGAGCGACTGGACCGGCCCGGTGTTGGGGGTCAGGGTGGGCCTCACCACTGAGGGGCGGGGAGGAGGGCCTTCTTGGCCCAGAGAAGCTGCAGGCAAATGCCCTCAGGCAGGACTGATCCTTTGGGAAGGCAGGCTAGGGTTTGGCACTCAGCTCTTGGCCGGGAGCCTCAGCCAGGCTGGGGGTGAGTGCCACCAAGAGGTCAGTGTCTGGACTCGGCAGAGAACCAGGGTGTGAGCTCTCTGAGGGCATCTCCTCCGAGAGTCTCACTCTGCTTTATTCTCCTGTTCCAAAACGTGTGCACAAGTGTGAACTTACACTTAGGTTGGGTTTTTACAGCTCTGGACTCTGAAACTGAAGGATGACACCATCTTTTGACCTGACTTCATGGTCTTTTCACTTTTTGTTTCAAAAGTTACAGAAATGTTTCTTCTTCGAGATGTTGGGGAGGGGGATCTCCCCTCATTCCCACCCCCAGCCCAGCTTTCACTAGGAAGCCTAGGAAGCCCTGGGGTCCAGCAGATGAGGTTGCGATCCTGGCTCGGACACTCCCTGGCTGCGTCCCCATCCCCTGGGGTGGGCAGTTTCACCTCCCTGTGCATCCGTCTCCGTCCTGCAGCTGGAGGGTCTCCTGAGAGAGACGAGCAGCAGTGCGGATTCCCGGGACACAGTAGTGCCCAGTGAATGTGGCAAGGCTCACAACTCCATCATGGTCCCCCTCGGAGAGCTAGTTGGGGGCCTGGAGGGCCTTGAGTGCCAGAGCGCGGTGTGCTTTCAGGCCCTGGGCAGTGGGAGCCCCAGCAGGGTTGGATGTGGCAGGACTGAGCACGTGGACACCAGCCAGGGCCAGGCAAAATCTGCAGCTTCAACCAGGCGGGAGGGGACAGCTCGAACCTGGAGCGCCGTTTCCCATTCCCCATGCATCCCAGGTGGCCGCTAGGAGCCTGGCCCGGGTCGTGGTGTTTGAGGACGATGTACGCTTCGAGAGAAACTTCAAGGGGCGGCTGGAGTGGCTGATGGAGGAGGTGGAGGCAGAGAAGCTTCCGTGGGACCTGATGTAAGCAGTCTGTGCTCCCAGGGTGAGGGGGCGGTGTGCTCTGGGGTCTGCCTCTCCCTGCTTGGAATCCTGGCTCCCTCCCTGCCAGAGCCTGGCCCTGTATGAAGGGATGAGAGGACGGTCCCCTGACACCCCTGAACCCAAGTGACTGTTGGACTTGGTGTCACTCGCAGCTACCTTGGCCGTAAGCAGGTGAACCCGGAGGAAGAGGTGGCTGTGGAGGGGCTACCAGGGCTGGTGGTGGCCGGGTACTCTTACTGGACACTGGCATATGCCCTGAGCCTGGCGGGTGCTCGCAAGCTCCTGGCCTCCCAGCCTCTGCGCCGCATGCTGCCTGTGGACGAGTTCCTGCCCATCATGTTTGACCAGCACCCCAAGTGAGGCTCAGTGGGGCAGGGCAGGGGCGGGGCGGGGCAGGGTTGTCCCACCCAGGAGCCTCCCCAAGTAGGTAGCAAGTCCCTTTGCTGGGGAGTTGGGTTGAGTCCCCTGTTCCAGGTTACCAAGGAGTAGCTCAGACTAGCCCAGGAGTCAGGCCAGCCTGGGTGTCAATTCTGTGCTGCCTGTGTGGTTTTTATTTATTTTCCCCCACCTCCCCTGCCTGTGCAGTTTTTAATCAGATGACTTCCCTGTTCTGAGTCCTCAATTTCCTCATCTGGAAAATGGGGATAATAGAAATCCCACTTCTCTGGGACCAGCAGATGGCGTAATGATTACATTGTTGGACTCCTACATAGTGGACTGCAGTTCGAGTTCCGGATCTGGTGGCTTAAACTCACTCTGGGCGCGCGTGCATGCCCAAGACCCCCAGAGAAGAATGGAGGAGAAGGGATTGCAGCATGGCCATTCCCCCGAGGTGGTGGTGGGGGGGGTCTTGCTTTCTGTCTCTCTGTCCCTTTTTATCTTTCTGGTGAGCGCATGCGCTCTACAGCAAAAACCTCCCTTCTAAAAAGGAAAGAAAAAAGAAATCCCACTTCTCAGAGCTGTTTCAAGGACTGAGTGGGGAGGGCGTTGAGTTCTTCGGGCAGGTGAGGTGCCCAGCTCTGGGCCAGCACGGGGTCTGAGAGGAGGGTCCTACCCATCTCGGCACCCTGAGCTCTCCTTGCACTCCTCAGTGAGAAGTACAAGGCACACTTCTGGCCACGGGACCTGCGAGCCTTCTCGGCCCAGCCCCTGCTTGCTGCCCCCACCCACTACGCGGGGGACGCCGAGTGGCTCAGTGACACAGAGACGTCCTCCCCCTGGGACGACGACAGTGGCCGCCTCATCAGCTGGAGCGGCTCTCAGAAGAGCCTGCGTGGCCCCGGCCTGGACCTGGCTGGCAGCAG